TTCACCATGGAGAGCCACTTGACTTTCAGAATTCGGTTCCTATATTATCTCTGAATTCTAGAAATTAAAACCAGCAAAGCAACTAATCGTGTTTCTGGCCCTTTATTTGCTTTGCCAGCCCCTGGGTTCACCTAATCAGTGGATTAAACTATACAGTTCTAGACCATGAGACATACTATGTTACTAGGTCACTGTGCTAATGCCTGACTAACCTACATTTCAAAATGTTCAGGCAATAACTAAGGTGAATTTTCATTTTGTAGTGATTTTATATGCCTATCATATATTTATTACTAATATATTTATTATATTATGAGGAAATATATTAGGGGCAAAATCAGGTACCCATATATTTGGTATAATGATAGAGGAACTGAGCTAGAATTTGAAACTCATGTGGCATTATCACAGAAGTAGGAAAGGATCTCATGTGAGAACCTAGAGAGACAATCAGGAGAATTAGAAGAATGTACTCTCAGCAGAGAGAATGGCATGAACAGAGCTAGGTAGAAGAAAGATCCCAGAGCATGACAGAGGAATAGCAAGTATTAGTTTGGATCATGCTTTGGGTATGTGGGGACTGAGGGTAGATAGTGGAAGATGAAGCTAGAGAAAGAAATAGGGGAAGATCACAAAAGATTCTAAAATCCAGGTTTGGAATTTGAACTTAATTTTTGGTAGTACATAGTTATCAAACACTTTAGAGCAGAGAAGTGGCATGATCAGAACTGTGTTTTTTTAAAATTTATTTATCTGGGGGGAGGGGCACAGGGAGAGGGAGAGAGGGTCTCAAGCAGACTCCCTGCTGAGCTCAGAGCCCAACACAGGGCTAGATCCCATGACCCTTAGATCATGACCTGAGCTGAAACAGAGTTGGACGCTTAACTGACTGCACCACCCAGGCACCCCCAGAACTGTACTTTAGGTTAATTAATCTGGCAGCTTCGTAGAGATGGTATGAAGCAATTGGGGGCAGGGAGATCAGGTTTCTACAGAGGACAGGGAAGGGAGAAAGGGAAGGCCCAAACTCAGGTGGCCATAAAGACTTACAGAAAAAGAATTATGTAGGAGAAGCTATGGGCATAGAACTTGATAGGCTATAGCAAGTTACCAAGTGTTGGGGCCAAGGAAGGGGAGAGAAACCATGGTTCTGAGTCTGGAGGTCACTGTTAGCAAAAGTAGGCAATATAAAAGTAAGAGCTGGGGGCAAGAATGGAGAGGAGTATTAGATTTTGAATATGTAGGATTTGGGGTCTCAGTAGATGGCAGGAAAGACTGGTTAGAAGCTCAAGGAAGATATCACAGTTAGGGATCTCAACTTGAGAGGCATCTGGACAGAGATGAGAGTTAAAGCTATGGGAATGGATAAGATCATCATGAGAAGGATGTAGAGAAAAAGAAACAGACCAAAGACTGAACCTTCCCTCATAGGGTGGCAGACAAGGAACAGATGGTTCCAAGAGGGCTTGATCAATGAACGGGGCCATAGGCTGCAAAGACATCAAGGGAGTTAAAGACTCAGAAAGGGCCACTGGTTTGGCCCAGTGGTGGGCCCACAAGTAGCAGACAGGTAGTGGACAGGTGGTCAGGAAGAGAACCCTTGAGAGCGAGTGGCTATGATGGTTGATGGATGCGCCTGTTGTTTCCTTTGGGAAAATATGAACCAGTTACAGGCCCAGGTAGGAAGAGCACCTAAGAAAAGAACAAGATAGGAGGAAGGACATGAGGTGAGGGGCACCAGAAGAGAAAAGGATCAGACATTTCTTCTACTGAGATGGGAGAGAGGGGGGCTGGGATAAAGCTAGGAAAAGGTTTAAGGTGAAAACAATGGAAACATAGGGTGTTGCTCCAAACATAATGTACTCACGACCAGATTATTTTTCTTTTCAATCAAAACCCCCCTTTTTTTTTGCTGAAATTAATATGACCCAGTTAGGGCAAAGGTGGTTTTCCAAGTCTGACTAATCATCAAAATTAACTGTGAAACTTTCCCAAAATACATATTTCTAGGCCCAAACCCAGCCACACCAAGTCAGAATTTCCCAGGAATCTGCATTTTAAAGCCCTTTCAGGGATTCTGAAGGTTAGCTAGGTTTGGGACCTCCTGAGTATGGTTTTCCAACCAAGGTCATGCATCAGGATCACAGGGGCAGGCACGAATTAACTGACTCTGCAGAGCACAGCTTATTCATATTTCAAAAAGCTCTCCAGATGATCCGATGTGCACCCTGGATAAGAACCACAGTAAAGAGATTGGATTGGGAAAAAACAAAAACAAAAAAACCCAGTAACTAGTTGCATAGAATACTGAAATTCACCGAACCGATTGGTTCTCTGTTACTTATGTCACCTGACAATTTCCTTTGGACATTTCTCCTATCGAAACGGCATCTGCTCCTAACCTGGCTGTCACAGGTGGACTGATGTGTTTCTCTGTGGCTTCTCAGTGCATTTACACAGGCGGCCAGGCCTGCGGGGATGCCATCTGTGGCTCTGTGGAGAGAGCCTGGCTTTGAAATTTTTTGAAGTCTCTTTAAGGGAAAATATACGGAATAACATTGTTCAGTCTCTGAACTAATGACACAGTGTATCTCATAAAAGAAACAAAGATGCAGAATGGAGGAAAGAGGATAGAAAAAGCAATGATGGTTCCTATTTCACTAACCTAAAAGAAAATATTGTCAGGCAGATTCATAATTTGGCCAGAAAATTCCTTGCACTGTTTGGTCGATTTTTTTTTTTTAAAGCAACAGTAACAATACAACAGTTACAGAAATGAGAGCCTGGCACAGTTGCTTGGCTCTGAGGGAGGCCATAAGCCCAGCCCTTTTAAAAGCTCTCAAAGAAATACAAAATTTTCTTTTATCCCACATGATGGTGTGATCCAATTCCTGCTCCAGCAGCCCGGACATATCATCTGTTGGAGTATTTAAGTTTACGGCACAGAAGGAAACTGTCAGCTCCTCTCCCCTTTTATAGGACACTCACATTTGCATACTCAACAGACAGTACAAGCCTCAAAGGCCATACTCCCCCAAATGCAATAATCCTACTCTTGAAATACAGAAGATAAAATAGTAGCATGAAAATATTCTTACCCCGATGAAGGCTGGCTCCAGCTGTGGCTTAGAAAGTCAAAAACTAGTAAACTTGCTTGTAATAACATCCTAAAAATTCCAAAGGTTATTTTCCCCCATCCACAGTTAAAAAGCCATCTCCTACAGAACAGTGTCACATCTGTGACGTGTCCAGATTAAGGCAAGAGGTTTCTTGCTTCTAGTAATTTGTCTGGTTTGAGATTAAAGAAAAAAAAATCTGTCTTGAAGCTGTCAGTTAATATTTTTTAACTTTAAAAAAAGCCATCTTCATGCTTCACAGCAGAACTGTGTGATTTTTAAACAGAGGTAAATTCTCCTCCATATCAGGTATCTTATTGAGATATATATATATTTTGCATTTTAGTGCAAGGCAAGCAAACAAAAGGTTATCCACGAAGTTTCAAATGCATGTTAGTAACATAAAGTGAAGTTACCTTTCTTTGATATCCAATTACCTATGCATCTCACTGAAAAAACAAAATCCTCTTTGCAATTAATAAAAAATTGTGGTATTCTAACAAAGCTGGAAGCTAAGGATCTTCAAATTCCAAATCTTTCCATTCCTGGATGAGCTTTGGTAGTCAGATGTTAATAGGATGCCTGTTTTTTTTTTTTTTTTGGCCAGTGTTCAGGCTAAAGAGTCTGTGAAACAGACTTTTTCCATCCTATGACCTCAGTTTTAGGATTTTTTTCTTGCAAAATGTTAGTTATTTTGCTTGGCAGATTGCCAGAACCCCTTCTTCCCTTCCCTCTCTTCTCCCTTCCCTTCTCTCCCTTCCTCACCTTGCTTATCTTCTATTCTTTGATAAAGTATGGATTTAAATTAATCCAGCTGGACCTACACTTACATGGTGTTTGGTAGGGTTGCTAGAATTAGCAAATAAAAGTACAGGATGCCCAGTTAAATTTGAAATTCAGGTAAAAAATGAATAATTTTTAATATAAATATATCCCAAATATTGCATGGGATATACTTATGCTAAAAAAATTATTCCCAAATATTGCACCGGATATACTAATACCAAAGAACTATTCCTTTTTGCTCTGAAATTCAAATTTAACTGTGTGCCTTGTATTTTATCTGGCAATACTAGTTTGGATGTTAAACAGAAGGGCTAAAAAAACAACAAAGACATCTATTTACAACTGGAAGAAGAGAAATTTCCATTCCTATCCTTCTGAATGCTTTTTGTCTCGGTATAACACTCAATGGCATTGGTTTATTTTTGACCCATCCAGTTTTACTAACAGTCTCACAAAGCATACCACATCCTGACACTGTCTGAAGAAGTCCACAGGGTTTCAGCTCTGAATCACCAGAGCCCAGAACTCGCAAAATGGGTCCCGCATGCAGACAGCACGGGGTCGTAGTCCCGCCACAAAACCAAAGAAACACTCAAGTTTTAATCGATCATTCTCCTTTGAAATTTGTGCATCAAATTTAATATTTTCAAAGGCACTGAAAGAGTTTTCTCTCTATCGTTCCCACTCTGAGGCAATTTAGCATGATTAGTACAGTCATTATTAGGAAAAACAACAGAATTCAATTGTACTTCAAAATGTAATAAAATGATCACCTCTTGGACATTTTGAAAGGGAAGATGAAAATATTGATATGCTCCAGACATTTAAGATAAGATGACGATCTTAATTACATTAATTATTAATTCAAGTGTATTTTCCAACATCTAAGTACACCCAAGGGGGGCATGTAATTCAGAAATGATGTTCTCTTATTCAAAGATGTATTAATATTCAGTATTCTGAAAATATGTTGAAGTCTGATTGCCAGAATGGAGAATGTATAAAAGTGGGGTTAAAAGCAAGGGTTCGGGAATCAAACTGAGTTCAAATCCCAGCTTTGTCACACACTAGCTGTGTGACGCTGGGCAAGTTACTTACCCTCTCTGTGCATCATTTCCCTTATCTGTAAATGGGGACAACCATTCCAGAGAGCTGTGAGAATGATACGAGTAAAATGCTTAGAACAGTGCCTACCACACAGTAAAGTGCTCAGTAAATTTTGGGGGTGAGGGTCATAGCCTAAACTGTCAATAGGAAAACAAAACTCACAAAATCAGAGACTGGCTCCATTTTTACAATTGGCCCAGGAGAAAAATGATTTTTTTTTCCTGTGGCCAAATGGATGATATATTTAAATTTTCAGAATGATAAATACCAGTATTTTATGTATTTATCCATTAAAAAAATCTTCTCTTTGTTTTCAGAGCATATAACTTCTTGGGTTGTGTGAAATTAGCATCAGATTATTTCAAGAAGTGAAGTTATTTGGTTAACAGTCCTATCCAACTATTGGTTGTTTTTCTTTTTCACCTTGCTTATATTCTCTTTACTCTCCCCAACTCCAAAAGCAAATGAACAACACACTTTCCCCCATTCCTACAAGCCAATTAATCTAACTCAACCCTCTAGCATTAGCGTTAAACAGATTTTTGAATGAAATAGTCCCCAGTCACTGGGTTTCCTGCCATCTGGTCACTTCGAATTTCATTTGTTTGTGTTTTGAACCAGGAACGGAGTCCAACAGTGCTGGGTCTACTCTACAACGCAGCTCAGGTGTCTGCAGTCAGAGGTGGTGGTAAAGAAAGAGTGCTTTCAAGTCAGATACCTCTAGGGTAATATCCTGGCTGGGCCACACTACCTGTGTGAGCTCCCCGAGACTCGCTTTCTTTATCTATAAAAAGAGAGATTCTAATACTGTCTCCTTTTTTGGGGTTGCTATGAAGATTCAAAGAGTTGATTCTTCTACAGGGTGATCCTATGTTTTGGTTTACACCTGTCGTCCCTGCATCACTGTTAAATTATATAGTTATCCAATTTTTATTAGGCATTTAACACACAGACTGGCTGGTCACTATTCAGGATTTGTTACCTCTTTTTTTTTTATTTTTTAAAGATTTTTATTTATTTGACAGAGAAAGAGACAGCAAGAGAGGGAACACAAGCAGCGGGAGTGGGAGAGGGAGAAGCAAGCTTCCCTCGGAGCAGGGAGCCCGATGCAGGGCTCAATCCCAGGACCCTGGGACCGTGACCTTAGCCAAAGGCAGACGCTTAAAGACTGAGCTACCCAGGCACCCAGGATTTTTTACCTCTTAATCATGATATACCAATACCTTTATACTATTCTAAAGAAATGCTTTAAGTCCCACCAAGCCCTCATTTTTAAAAGCAGGGATGGCCTTTTTAACATAGAAAGATGAGTGCGTGCATGTGTGTCAAAGTTTGGTCACCTGCCCACTATCCCTACCTTCCCTGTCCCTTTGTCTATTTCAGCTATAAGAAGCTCAAAGTGGGGGTGGAGTTCTCTGCGGTAGAACCTTGAGGGCAGAGGCTTAAATATTTTACATGCTTTGGTGGGATCGTGTGAGTACTGCTTTAGCAAAATATACTCTGCCAACAGTGCAGAAGGCCCTCTGAGGTGAGCAGGGGGGCCAGGGCTGGGAAGCTGTCCTTTTCCTTCTGCCAGCTACTTGGACTGTCAGATGAATCCCAGACTGCAGCCTCGGCTCTTTCCAAGATCTCCATCACTGTGCAGTAACAGCGCCCTTCCTCACTGTCTATAACCAGGCTTCCTCCTACTTCTTCCCCAGCTCTCTGGGACACAGTCCTTTTGATGATCTGGAGGGAGGGAAGACTTTCCCTTGTATAGGCTTTCAGGGAAATACCAGCCCTTCATGCAGAAACAGGATTTCTCCCTTAAAATCGCCTCTGCTTCATGTGCCCTCTGTACCAGGCCACAGACTGAAAGTGGTTCCTGCAAGTGGTTCTGGAGCTGGCTGACCTAGCTGAAATCTAGGCCATGGCCCACTGCAAAATCTCCTCGAGCCAACTTGCAACTCTGAGACTTTGATTCTCTGTTCTATAACATGGGATGTAATAATACAATAATGCACCTCATTGGATTATTTTAAGAATTAAATAAGACAACATGTCCAGTACAGCCTCTGGCACAAAATAGGCATTTAATGCCTGGAAAGTATCATAATGGTACCAGGCTGCCTGGGGAGAGATCAGCATTAGAGGCAAAGAGAATCTGTGTGATCGGGGGGTGGGAAGAGGGGGAGAATTCAGTTTGCAAATATATAAACACTGCATTTTGGAGATTTACATCTTAATTAAAATCTGTAGAAGAGAAAGAACAAATCGCTAGTGGTATTTCTGAACGAAGATACAGAAAATGCACAGCAAATGTATTCCAACCATCCCTTGTGTTATTCCACATTCATTCATTGATTCATACCAACGATTTCTTATTGTGTAGGTATTATGTCTAAATAGCTGGGCAAAGCTTCAGCACAAGAGCATGAAGAAGCTTTATAAAAGAAAATATTTGGAGGAAGCATAATTAGTCTGTTAATGACAGGCAATATTTATTGATTACCCACTGCGATCAATAAATATGGTCATATTTATTGATTTACCACACTCTCCCATGGCCTAAGTGACTCCTCAGAAAAATGTTGCTATTATGCTAAAGCCACAGTGAATACTCCTCAGAAAAATGTTGCTATAATGCTAAAGCCACAGTGAATACAGAGTAGCTAAAGCTTATTAATTAATGTCTGTGGGGACTGGAATTGCTCATTGCAGAAGTGTCAAATTCATGTCCAGAAACTGTCCACCTTAATCATTAAGTGAAGGAAGCAGTTACTTATGCGATCTAATTAGGGGTCGCCGCAAAACTCTTCCTTGTTGCGTAACGTACACTCCAACTATCTACCTTCTTGAGCCTGTGAATGGGTCCTAAAATTTTCTGAGTTGTCAGGCCTCCTTTGAGCTCAGGCTTTCCTTGGCCCTGTGAGAACACTTATGGCTTCTCTGAGGGGAGTACTGCCGGGTATAAACTAGTCATATTCTGGTAGTGTGGGGAATGGCAGCGCCGAGTGGGAAGAGACTCACTGGATACAAACCTCCGGGCAAGCTTCTTACACCCTTTCAGCCTCAGTTTCCTCATCTGTAAGAGATGAAGAAAGAACTCCCTTGGAGGCTACGGGGAGGTCTGAAGAGGGGCACGTCATTTCCTTCTCCTTCCTTACTCCTTTGGCACAGATTATGTATCATTAGTTGGTCAGTAAACGATAGTGTGTTATGAACATTGGTTGGCAAAAGGTGGATTGGTGTGGTTTGATCTGTATTTTAAAATATTAAATAAGAATAGAAGATGTCAGAGTAATTGTAGGTAATGTTTTGTGAAACCATTCTTTCAGTACATACACTTTCATCGGACATGATACAAAATGTACTTCTGACTGTGTAGGTTATGTTCAAAAAGGATGAAATGAGTATACACCCAAAATAACTAAAGGCAGGAATTCAAAGAGGTAGTTGTATACTCATCTTCATAAGTAGCGTTATTTGCAACAGCTAAAAAGTAGAAGCAACCCAGGTATCCACTGATGGATGAATGAAATCACACACCATGGAATATTATTTCATTGTGTGTGTGTGTGTGTGTGTGTGTGTGTGTGTGTATACACCATGGAATAATATTCAATCATAAAAAGGAAGGAAATTCCTTTTTAAAAAGGAAAGAATTTCTGACACATGCTACAACGTGGATGAACCTTTGAAGACATCATGCTAAGTGAAATAAACCAGATACAAAAGGATAAATACTATATGATTCCACCTATACGAGGTCCAGTCAAATTCATAGAGACAGAAAGTAGACTGGTGGTTGCCAGGGGGAGATGGGAGTTACTGGCTACGACAATTCATTAATTCAGCATATTAGCAGAGTTTCCATTTGGGGAGATCAAAGGAGTTCTGTGGATGGATGGGAGTGATGATCGTACAACTTTGTGACTGTGCCTAATGCTACTAACCTGTACACTTAAAAATGGTTAAGATGGTAGATTTTATGTTACATGTATTTTATCACAATTAAAATTTTAAAAAGACAGTAAATTACAAAAAAAAAATATTGAGAAACCCTGACCTAGATAACACTCTGAGAAGTGTATTTGGGTGGAGCCTGGACATAAAGGAAAGAGAAAGCGTGGGTCTCTGGGGAACCAAATGGGTCAGGGAATATACTCTCTAGTATTTTGAAGAATTCTCTTTTGTGACCTCTGGGACCATGGGCCTTCCAGTCTGGCATAAGAACACAAAACAGAAGGTTTGCTTCTGTGAGAGCATAATTTCCAACCTACATTCTAGGGTTCATATTGTATTTTAATTTGAGAGTACAACCAATATGATAGCAATGTCTAGCTTCCCCCTCAGGTAAAACTGATACACTCATCTGTTCTCTTTCAACAAGGCTGTCCAGTCTTGGACTCATTCGTATCTGAGTGTTGGGTCAAGGTCTTCCTTCCTTATTGCATAAACCATACCTCTCAAAGGCCTTCAACCTAAATTTGTTCAATTACATAATGAGGGGGTCCAAGGAGCCCTAAAGGCCCTTCCTATTATATTTTTTATTCTTGGTGTCTGAGAGTTGAAGAAACAGAATCTGGCCAATTTTTTCTAGGCAAAAGTTGTACACCAGGTTTCTCATTTTCTTAGCAGACAGAATCCTGGCAAATTGTTTAAACAGATACGGAAAGGAAGTCTCTGGGGACAGACACCTCATAGACTAAAAGAACAGCCATTATTTAGATACGGATGCTGTGGCCAAAATAAATATCAGGAAGGTTTCAAAGTTCTCTGAAAACACACACACACACACACACACACACACACACACACGCATGTACAAACTATAAAACCATCTTTTGGTAACAGTTCTCAAATCAACTTTGATCTCTCAACTTCCAGAACCTATTATATGATCAGTTTGTATAACCTTATTATTAAATGCACATGTATAAATGACAGATTTCTCTGTGTTTGGCATACAATTGTTTCTCTATTTTTTCCTTTGTATTTAACATTTTCTAAGACAGCTCTACAAGGGGCATAAGAAATTTTTAATGAATATGGTCATGAACTGT